TCTATGTGTGATGTTTTGAATGTGTTTTTATGTCTTTATACATAATTGTGACAACCATAGGCAAGCGCTGAACCAATTGCACGCTCATGCTTATACCATTGTTTTCTATTGAAGTAGGAGATAAGGAGACAGGATCTTTTACTCCCTTCCTAGTCAAGTGAGGGGGGAGACGTTTGGTCCTGATGCTCCAAAACCAGAGCGATACTGCATCATTTAGTCATTGGTAATAAAACAGAGTGACTTATTTAGTCACTAGGTAGTGTTAACTAATACAACTGAATTATGAAGTAGCACTCTGGGTAAAAATAAGCAAATGTGAGACTTACTAAGTCTCAAAGGGGGGAATGTCGAAGATTTTTATTAATCAAAGTATGAATTAATCAAGTATAAACAAGGCGAATCTAGCCATTTATATATCCAATTAATCAAGTATAATCAAGGCGAATCTAGCCATTTATATACCCAGTTATTCTTCCATTATAATCACATATGCCTGTGTGTAAAAACAGCCTATGTGGCAGAATGTACAGACCCTCAGATGAGAAACATCTGGAAAAATAAAAGTGGGCTTTCTTTCTTTACCATAACAAGACTTGGGGGGGCCCTGTGGGCTTTCTTTCTTTACCATAACAAGACTTGGGGGGCCCCTTCTCTAGGGAGATATCGAATTATATGCATAAGGAAAACTGTATGGAAATATACCCCACACCTTAAAGTCAAAACTGTACATAAAGAGAAGCAAAAAACATTCTGGAGATTTCTTCTGCAGAGAACTTCTCGGCTTTATTCTTCTTGAAATAAAGTCTAACTTCTGGAAACAAAACCCCAAGACACTTCAACTTCAGGCTGCACTACCCCCTGTCGTGCTGCAAGTGGCCATTTCCCCTGTGTGTCTCAGCACGTAAAAGAGCATTTCCCTAAAAGAGCCAATTTCTCTAAAAGAGTACAACAATTCATCCTGGCGGCAGCCAGGCGAGGACTACTTCGGGCAGTAGCACGGGTGGTCTGAGGGTTACAGTGGTGGAAACCCCCTCAGGGAACCAACCCTCGGGGGACCATCGCTCCTCTAGCGTTTCTCAACCAGTTGAGCCGCCAAAGGAACGCACTGGGCCCTCTCGGTGTTACTGCAGGTTCATAAGGCCAAGGCACTGAGGGACCTGCACGAGGGAGGTCATGATCCGGAAGTTCTTAAAGAGCTCCGAACCACTACTGACCTCGCGCTCCGAGCGACGAAGGTCACAGCGAGTTCTCTGGGTCATGCGATGTCCACGCTTGTGGTCCAGGAGCGCCATCTCTGGCTGTGTCTGGCAGACATGA